GAGAATGTGGTCAGTAAAAATGAGTACTACACCTATTCAGCTAATAGCAAGGCACTTTCAGTTAAAAGTTTATTATGTTGTGGCAACAAATGACTGAGAACATAACATAACAAGCAAGCAAATGTTTGATCCAACAGTAAGAGAGGACCTGAACCAAACCTTAGACAATAACAAACGGCAGGCAGATCGAGTTTTAAGATCATTAGTCCATCAATTTTCCAACAATCTTCGACCATCAAGTTTAAACTTTAGTGTCCATGTGGGAATTAAAACCATCAGTATGAGAACAATATCTGCTATAAATGTAGCAGGCTACAACTGCATGAGAACACTTATGCCATTCCTTCGTCATCCTCGTCCTGTGGTTTCGGTCCGCGAGGTTTGGGTCCACCCGTGGCTTGTTTCGCAATTATTATCTACGAATAAAGTAATGTATTACGAGTAGGACAATTGTATAACAATGGAACTGAGAACTCCTGTCCTAGGAGAAACACAGATACCAAAGAGATGTTGAGAACTCACCTGGTCAACTTTAAGAATCGTAGCAGCAGCATCAGTGGCAAGTTTTATAGCGAGTTTCTTACCAGCAAATAGGTCAAAGATGCAGTTCTCTCCAGCATCCATGATTTCTAGAAAGAAAAATAAGAGTAGAAATAAGTAGTAGATGCATGTTCAAAAAAATGTACCATGCTTCCAAATATCAATGCCGGCATTTTGTTGTCCAGATTCATGAGCGGCGTTGAGTTTGGTAAGGATATCCGTAGCCTTCAGACAAAATTCAAGGTAAAAATGAAGTGGGCACTAATAAGATCCGGAAATCAATTCAACAAACATACATTGATGCCTGCGTTCTCAGCCAGACATTTTGGCAGGGTTTCAAGGGCATACGCGAACTTCTTGATAGCATACTGCTCCAGCCCTGAACACTTTTCACCGAAGGACTCGATTTGACGAGCTAATTCTATTTCGACAGCGCCAGCGCCAGGAAGAAGCTGAAAACACCATAATCGTTATGAAGAAGACATTGAAAGAAACTAGCCAGCACATACAGGCATGATCCAGGCAAATTTCTTTACTCAAGGCTTACCCAAACCTACACAGGCAATTACAGAAAAAAGAGTTAATGTGCACGAAGCTTCGCACACTAACAAAATCTAATCTAACACAACATTTGCTAACAATTGCTATCAAAGAATTACATCAAAAAAGTTGCAAATTGAACAATTATTCAGAATGGTTTTCCCAAGTTTATCATGGGTTGATGGAGTTTGGAACATAAGCTCAGACCCAATTCACCATTCCGATGGTTACTGCACTATCTTCAAGAATACCTCACCATCAGCAGTCACGACTCTTCAAAAGAACATATGAGCGGTCACAGTGAGACTAGCAAGAAGCAGTTCGAAATAGAGCCTCCCTTGGAGTTCCACCAACAACAGAGCAAAACCTACCTCTGGATACTCATCTCTCGGTCATTTTTAAGGATTTGGGGGAACCATCGACATTCGCGCTTTGCTTGGAGAATTTAGTGTCGAATAACAATATCATTAGTTGCTCCCTTGTGCAGACGCAGTAGCAGAAACGTGTATTCTTCCCTTTTCCTTTCCCTACTTCTTCTCGGTAGATTCAGGTGTCACCCGAAACGCATATAACTAAGGCGAAACCTTATTCCTAAGGTTTCGCCTTAGTTATACGCGTTTCGGGACACCTGAATCTCGAGAAATAAACGCACGCGGGATGCCAAGCTATGAGTGGAAGATTGACTTTTCTGGACGGCGTTTAGCACGCAGTCGGGCATACAGAACGATTTACACTTTGAACAATTTCCATGGTAGAAAATTTACAGAACGATTTACACCTTTGAACGATTTCCATGGTAGAAAATTCGTTGAGGGCTTGCCATTTGAATTTTCAGAGAAAGTTTCCTTTTCGAAATCCAATGAAGAGCTCAAGCAATAGCAAAGAGCGAACGTCAGACTACACTGGTGTGCAAAACTTAAGGACCGAAGTAACTTTCACATGATATCTCACTGCTAGTTAACCTAGGTGGATCAAATTTGGCACATATATAGAAGTAAATGTTGCGGTACAGTGCAGAGAGTTACTAACAGAAAAGCGCAACGGGGCGATTAGGAAAAGACATTTTTCTGCAAATACCCTGTCTGAAGCGGTCGATGGGTGAGGCTACTCCAACTCATGGTAGACATTCAAAAGAGAGGAGCTGGTCCTTGGTGGGGTGTGCGAACACTACGGACTGCAAAGCATGCTCTGCCACGTGCTCCAATACCGGCACAAGGTTGGTTAAGAGTTCTTGTGGAGAAACGATCCATTCCTTGAAGACCGTGATTGACAACTGCTGGACAATTGTTGGTGTATGGGGATGCGCTACAATTGCTTTCCTGAATGTGCTCCACACGTGCTCCATAGCATTTGTTTGAGGTAAGTGGGCAGGCTCGACCGATCGCTGGAAATCCTCGATTTTCAGGAGTTTTCCACCTAGGCTGCTCGATGCTCTCGCAGCTTGTCCTCCATACGATTGAAGTTGAGGTCAAAGACATTCTTGAACAAATGCACAGAAGTGAGGAGCACAGCGTCACAATATCGTCGATCAGAAAGCATTTCGCGACCAGGAGTTGAGAGCTTGGTACATCCTTCCGACTTTAGGCCTCCCCACACCATATCGAATAGACTATCAAAACAATCATGTCGAACGATTTCGCGGGTGGATTACATGATCCTATTCTAGCCACGTGCGGATAAGTTTAAAATCACTACTTATATCCAATTTGATCTTGAATGTGAAGAACACGCAATCATCCAAATCAGTGGTCCTTCGCTAATGTCCCGACACCTAGCAAATGTTCCCGCCAATGCGCGGGTTTCGAACGAACGCCAGATACTGTTCATCGGTCAGACAGATCATGCCTATACGGTCACTGTTCCACTGCTCCGCCTGGGATTACGTGCCTCACAATTCTGAGAGATGTTTTTGCAACTGCAACCTGTGACTGACGTAGGTCAATTCTTGTCCGTTGCACAACGTAAGGATCACCCGCAGTTGCGGTTAAACCTGATCCACCACCTACTCTTCTAGGGGCAGCAGTAGCTGCAGTCCATATTGCCCTTATGCGCTCAAAACAATAAGGTGAGCAACATCAAACTAATGGACCACACTCTTACAAATCTTCCTTCTTCCAGTTTCCCAGAGATTCTTTCTCGCGCAAAGTCACCCTCGTGTTGTCTCTGAGACTTGTTGTGATCAAGGGCACCACTACTTTCCACAGTGACTTCTCCCTGCTCAGTACACTCCCTCTTGTCCTGCCCCACCAAACCCTTCGTTTTATGGGGCCACTCCCTTTTGGCTCCATACTGAAGCCGACCGCTGCATATATGAGGCCCACTTCCATGTCTATGACTGTAAGGCTTTTGGCAATACACTTGCGCAGTTTCATCCAATTCCACCAAATTGGTAATAAGTTATGTCAATTTATCCATCTGGTCCTTT